CGTAACCGTAACCGTAACCGTAACCGTAACGTAACGTAACTAACGTAACGTAACGTAACGTAACGTAACGTACGAACGACGTACGAGACGAGAGAGAGAGAGAGAGAGAGAGAGAGAGAGAGAGAGAGAGAAAGAGAGAGAGCAGTCCTATGAACTAAAAAAACCAATCATGAGAACTGAAAAATATGATCTTCAACAATATTAGTGGCACAATTATTGTAGTCCTCATTTAAACTATCTTCTAACAAATAATTTTTTCTTGCTAATTTAAGTATTCTAGGCTCCAATAGGTGATAAGATAGGATAAAGTAGATTTAAGTGGGCTTGTCATGTCTAGCGTAAACCCAATACAGAATCTGTTTGGGGGTGTGATTTGGTTCAAGTAGAAGAACATAGTTGGAAGTAGTAAGAAATGATATGGGAACTTATGGCCTCACTAAGGGCATGACCTTAATAGAATAGAATGGCGGAACATGATTCGTATATCCGACCCCAAATTGTTGGGAAAAGACTCTAATGATGATGATGAGGTACCCAGTAAAGATAAATTGTCAGACGTAAAAAGAATATGTAAAACTCCGCACGACCGAACTGAACTAGAAGATCTAATTCCATATCAACTCCTCTAAGGAAACGCTCAAATGAATCTACAATACTTTTAGCTTCTCCTCTAGATAGATTCTAGTCTCATTGTAGTTTGCATTACAAATCCTGCATCGCATTCCAATATTTCCCTAACAACCCTGCCTCACATTCAATGGATCCGCTTCCACAAGTAAAATGCAAGAGAAGGAATACATAAATACATTGAGCCCAGTTCTCAGCAAATATCAAAAAATCTGTTGACTGCACGGTTCTCATCCTTAATTAACTCTCTCCTTTGCTGAGTCCGACTTCTGAATGGAAGTAACACCTTCTCATTTGGAAGTCACCTCAACCTTTCCCTAAACCAATTCCAGCAAACTATACTAGCCACAATGTATTCCTATGTCCACTCTGGTTCACTACTCTCATCCAATAATATAGAACTCTTCCCTCACACACCCAAAGAGAAAATACTCAATTACAGCACACTCCATGTATGGAATGATTCACAGCCCATGTATGGTATATGTTACTAAGCCGGGGCATGCAATATTTTGAAGATCCTATCTGGTGCATATAAAATGTAAATAGATGCATTCTAGTCAGACTATTTACCTGTGATATATTAGTCAAACACAAGTGAAGCATAAATAATCTCTAGTTCAAATGACTTGGGTAGGAGCATGATCCACAAAGTTCACCAGCCTAGCTATCAACATACTGATGTCTATCACAAACAAATGCATCAAATGTAAGTTTAAAGGAAAAAGATAATATAGGCCACCAACCAATGGAATAGTATAGGCCGGAGAGCCATATTGAATCTGGAGGATATGGATGGCAGAAGTTGTGTATTAGGATTACATTTATCAGTTTGTTTAATTTTTATTCAGATCGACCCCAAAATTTAGACACGTGTTCCTGACATAGGGGCTCCAAAAAAAAGAACAATAATTTGCAACAAAATTAAAGGGCCAAAATGTGTCCGCCATGTACGGTGAACACTGGCCATCTAGATCACCTATCATCATGCAACTAGAGCTGTCCAGCCTATTCTGTTCCATAGGACAGGCAGCCTATAAAATCCTTATCCTAAGATAAATCACTCAAAGTACTTGAGATTTTAATTTCATACCTGAGCGCAAGGTGTAATATGGATTCCATTCAATGTAACTTTTTCCAATTTTCCACCTATTGCAGCAATACGCGGCTTCAAAATTTCTTCAATAACATCGGTTTCATCAATTGCATCAAAGTTAAATTTAACCTGGCAAGGAGCATTATGTAACAAATGTATCACTTTGACTCCCATGTATCAACCATATAAAATCTTTCCACAGTGATTTTGGCACTTCAAAACTGAACTCTTCTGAAATTTGCATTACCAATAAAGTCCTACGAACATTGTAAGAACATTTTATGAAGTCCCGGTTTTCCAAGGGTGTGGGCTTGAACTCAGATACCCCCTGGTTGACCTGAAGAAAACAAAACAAGATGACCTGAACCTTTGAACAGAAGTGACAAGGCCAACTGTTGCAATGAATGTTCTCCAGTCTTCATATATTCTAACTGTTTGAGTCCTAAAATACAGGGAGAGCAAAATTGCATTTCAACACTTGGCACAAATGTCATCCAAAATATTAAACATATATTTTTGAAGAGAAAACTACTGACAAATTGTAAGAAAATGGTGAAAATGAAGTGGCCCTTTTATGACACGTGTTTCTATATGGTGAAAATGAAGTGGCCCTTTTGTGTAAATGCATGCGAATATTTGTGCATTAGCATATTCCAAAAGAGTATTGAATATGGTACTGCCAAGTAGCATCAGCCATCAATTCCTAATTACTAAAACCATTATTGACCACAGTAGCAGACTACGCGGAAGCTCACCCAGGTACAGTCAATTTCTGTCGCCCAATATAAAGAAATATGTTTCACTACAGAAGAAAGTCCAAACGAACTCACCCAGGGTACCCCTGCCTAGCCTGAAACCCCCAGACTCAAGGGGTATATAAATGATTATATTTCTTTTACAGTTGGGTAACAGCACAAAGACAATAAATATCTCTATAAGAAAACTTAGATAGTTCTACACACATAAACAAGTAAACAAAAGGTCATGAGAAGACCTGACTCATGACCGAGGGTAACTGGTCAATAAATTTTGTCACAGAACCAATGGCTTCCTGATCAAACTGTTGAAGCATGGGTCCAGCAACATCAAGTACAGTCTTGAAAGCGTTGTCTGCAACATAGGGGAAAGACAAGAGGATATGGTCTCAGTCAATTTATGGCATGTTTGAAAGAATGTTTAACCCCAAGTTAAAATTTCAGAAGAAAATTATCCATTCAAGGAAGCGATTCCTTATTATCTGAACTCCAGTTGCATGGGTAGTGGCCACAAGGCCCACAACTGCACAAGGTTTCTTCAGAATTCAGATGTTGCTTTAGTATCAAATAGAGATTTACACTTTGCCAAATGCATGTCGAAAGGAATCAAAAGACTATCTCTGACCTCAAGGTTCCTTTGAAAACGCAACATAAAGTTTTCCAAGATGAAAGAAATATTCATTCACAAAAGAGAAAAAAAAAAGAAGCTACCAAATCCAACAACTTGGTAAGCTAAATATAATACAAATCCTTTACAATGTTAATTTAAGCCACCAAATATTATGCTTCAACAGTTCACCACCCACAAAATTTTTAAAATGAATGATAAACTACAAACAAATCAGAAAAAGAAAAAGAGCCGGTATGGAACCTCATGTTTCGCACCAAAATTCTTTACAACTGGAAAGTTTGGAGCCATTTAGAATGGGAATGTCAACTCTGTCAATGTAAAAAATGAACTCCAAACTTCAGATGAGGTGAATTAAGCCACTAGAAGGTCTGTAAATTTTCAACTTTTACGAATTACCAGCCCGTCTAGAGTCAAAAGACCTTTTAATGAATGAAGAAGCCTTGTAATTCAATGCCTTCGCAAGCTCATTTGGCATTTATGAATCCACTGAGTGGAAGTAAATTCTTTCATGATAGATCTGAGAGCGTTCTAGCATTTGAGTGGACTCCTAGTGGCAGAAGGCAACTGACTGGACATTATTAGATGCACAAAACCTGATAGGAGATGTCCAGGAGGAGATTGTGAAAATTGCAAATTATTGGCTATGCTCTTTCCCCCAAAGCATCACCATCCAGAGAGCATATTCTTAGCTAGAGAGGAGATGTTTTGAGAGGAATTAACAAGTAAGAATATCATTGCATAGCATATGCATAACACTTTGTGTTAACTTATACCTCTCTTTTTTTGCCTAATGCATATGCTATGAGACATTCTATAGATGCCTTTATAAAAAAGTAAAATGCAGGATTTATTACTTACCAAAAGAAAAATAATTCTTTTAAGAACATCAAATAACACATAGAAGAAACCATAGTTGCATGAACCATGTACGTGGTAGCATATAGACTCCAAATCTACACATTCTCTAGGAACCTCAAGTTTAGGGATGCCAGTGCACTTCATGTTCCAAAGGGAACCACAGGGCCTGGCCTCCAAAATTGTTTCTCATAAAGAAATTCCCAACCTCTATAGTAGCATGTCACCATAGCTGTTGGCATCCAAAATAGAGATATGAAATACATTGGAATACCAGAAAAAACAGTCCTATAAACGTGATATAATGACTAGAAAATTTGAAATCTACTATATCAACTTATGTTAAGATTGGATTCCTCAGGGCACTATGGGACATATGCCAATAGAAAGAGGTAACTCCAAGTATAAGTCTACTAGGCTACTCAAATTGAACTCTCGCTACTTCAAAGGATTGCCCCAGGACTCATCTATCACCCCTAATCTTAATTTCTTAAACTCATTGTCGATATAGATGCAATAGGAAAAAGAAATCATCCAAGGCTTCCCATCCAATTCGCCTTTAAGCCTATCTCTCAACTCAAGTATCTCAAAATGAAATAAACAAACTCATTCTACAAAAAGGCAGCATATACAAGCCAACGATGCTCGCTCTAGTTACTTGACAAAGTTTGCAGATATATGAACTAGAATGATTGCACCTCGCCATGCTTAAGAGATTACTAGAGTAATATGGTAAGACTCTTGCATCACCCAACACCATCATTAGTTTGATAATCAAAATAAGTCAAGAAAACAATTAGGCATGTAAGTACCAAAAAAAAAAAACCAAGTAGGCATGTAGTCTAAACTTTTATTAAAAAAGGGGGGGTAAAATCTGCTTCCAACACCCTTGAAGGTACACCACACTATACACCAAACGTAGGAACAACTTGATAAAATATGCAGGTGATCATACAAGATGTGCACAATTAGATTTTTATTAACAATCAAAACGAAAGTTAGAAACTAGATTTAACAGATATTTGACAATTACAAAGAGATGATATAATCACCTGAAGTATTTCTGGCCATTGCGTAGACTGGTGAGGCCTCAAGAATTGGCGCCAATTGAGTAGCTACTGGACCTAGCTGCAGAAGACACCTTCAGGAGCACTTAGACATCAATTGGACAAACAGGGACGTCCATCCCATTCTAATAAGGAAAAGGTACATAATCAGCTAGAGGCTTATTTCTTAGAGGAAATTGATATATTTCTACTTCACATTCATCTGCCACTAGAAAAATGTGACGTGTAAATTTAAGGAGTCTGATTGATGTTTTTGGGTCTTCTTTCTCCTATAGGTTGGATTTACTCATATGATGGGACCACCAGAAGACACAGAAAATCCAATCAGAGTTGGAGAAAGGCTAACCATTGAACTTCTAAATCTCAAAATATCCATGTACAATTATGATGACTCAACTATTAAAGGAATCCCCGAAACAATTGCAGAAGAAATCTCAGTATTTTCAAACATCTCTTCAAAATGTTTCAAATCTCAACAAAGTTATGTACCTGTTCAAAGTATGGGACAGCTTCAGAAGCTTCTTTGTTGTTAAATGAGATTATGGCATTGGCCTTCCAAAAGACAAATAAAATAAAATAAAATAAATGATCAGTCATTAGTCCATGATTTTCTTTAACTGCTCCAAAAGAAAATTGCACTCCGAGTAAGAATACGCAGATACCAAACCTTGGGAATCTTTTCACCAAAATAACTTCCAGCAAGCAACTGAAGCAGCGCACCATTACTGAAAATTGTATACAGAAGCAAACGACAACAGATGAGTAAGCAATTATCATGCCTCATAGACAGCAAAAATCCAGAGATTTAGAACTGACAAAACCAAGAAGATCCTAATAATATTGCATTGTCCTTCCATACAAGATATATCACCTCCTCTTAGAGGTTTTGACTTGTTTAGCTACACGTAAAAACGTAAATCAGCAATTTCTAGACCAAAACATGCATGCTGAAGGAAAAGTATACAAAGAGACTTTTTGCTAATCACTCTTATCCGCCAGATTTCAAATCTAGTGGTTGTAAGAGTGTCATTAACTAGACTCAAACTACAAAAACAGAATTTCTAAAACTTTATGACACACTCCAAGCCATCCAATTTGAGATCCAATGGATAGAAGTAATTGTAACCTCCTTGTAACAAAGATAAACAGTCTCACAGTATACAAACCCACATTAAATTAATATATGCAAGGTGAGAGAGACTGGTCAAAAAATATAAAACTTGTTCTCTTTGCAAATTCAAATTTTTACATAAAATAGAGCATGACATTAAGAGGAATACTTAAGGAGTTAAATGAGACTCACACTATTGGAGAAATAAAAGACATTGATTATAATTGACCTGTGACCAACTGAATAAACTGGAAGTTGAAGGATATCATCAACCAAGAGGCCAGCATGGGATAATCCAGAGGAAAGAAGCATATCCATGCAAGCATTGAACTTATCATAGACTTCTTTTGCGGCTTCTTCGTGATCAAATGTCACATTATAGGGCACAGCAATTATAAGAAACCCTTCCTTAGCCAATAGATCAATCAAATGGCTGCACAAGGCACAATTATCCATTAGACATGCAACTGCAAATAAGAAGCTCAAAATTCAGATAGATAACTGAAATATTATTGACTAAGGAAACTTTGAATAGTTGAAAACCCAAATAGGACAATAAAAACAACAGTTACTACTTCCAGATAACAATCTGCAGAAAGTGGATTTCTAAGAGGGAAAAGAACTCTAGAGCCCATTGAATAGTGGAAAACTGTAGTCCATTGCATTCATGACCTTCCAATGAAATGATGGACAGTGATGGAAAGAAGGAAGGACTCACCAGAACTGGGCAAGGCCCAAATGGAGGAGGAGGACAAGACCCAAATGGAGGGTGCCACTCTCTCTCTCCATCAATGTCAATCATTTCATCATATGCTTATGGGCCCAATAGAAACGACGGCTTTTTATGGTGCACTGGACAACAATATGCTTTTCCATTTTTGAGACAACCATGAAGCAATCAAAGTACCTGCTCCATGAAATGTACCACAGCCATGATATAACCATACCTGTAGGTAACCTCAGGAATTGCTCCAATGAAAGCACCTCCCAAGAACTTGATAATAGCCTGTGGTTTTCTTCCATTTGATGGTGAAATCACCAAACATTGACCCAACCTTCTATAACCCTTTTCATTATAGATCTCGCGATCAGCATTGTACACATTCGAAATAAAAGTTTTCCGCATATTCTTGACTGAGGCTCGGTGCTTCGCAAGAGTTGGGCATCCAATACATAAGCTCTGCATCTTTGATTTCCATGAACGGCAAAACCCTCCAAAAATATGTCTTGTTCCAATTTTTGTGGATACATCTCTATGAAATCCCAAACGATTGACAGCAGAATAATTGTATCTACACTCTGAGAAGTTCAATGGGGAGTAATAATGTAACTTCATATTTTGTGAGTAGCACACCAATTGAGTCATTTAATTTTTTAAAGAACAACTATGCCAAGAACTTAAGTGTGCCCAAATTCTGCACCATTTGATAAAACAAAATGAAGAGTAGTTTAGAACACCTTCAATCCATAATGTGCCAACTCAAAATTTCAGAACAAAATATGAATCTCGAAAGCAAAACATGGTGAACAAGAAATATTAGTTTTCTGGAAATTTTAATTTCCAAATGGAAAAAAGGATTTGTAAGCATCAGCTACCGCAACCTCAATACTTACAAAGATTACTTCTAAACCAAAATGTACTATATATTTATCAATATCCGTTCTTTACAGTCCAAAAATTAGACTAATTATCAGGGACGAGCAGCTTTGATTGGAATTTGATATGATAATAACATGAAAATCCCTTACAAAATAAAAGCTAGATGGATTCTACAGAGTTACATCAAGCGAAGCCACAAAATTCAGATCGAAGTTTGCAAGTTTTTCTACAAAACCAAATGGGGAAATAGTTCAAAATTATTTGATGAATTTCAATTATACCAATGCAGTCTTTTTTCTTTTTCGTTTTTTTCTTTTTTTTTCTGGGTAAATAAACTTGTAAAAACACAAAACACCAATCATTTAGTGTGGAGCAGTTGATTGGCTTAGTAGTAATAGGTTATAATTCAATTATTATGCTAAAAAGGTGAATAAGGAAGATGGATTGAGATTTTGAAGCCCAAGCACAGGTATTTACCACAAATTTTAAAAAAAAATGATATAATTGCACTTCAGTCATCCAAAAAGGCCTATATTTCTAACCAAATTCCCACAAATTTTATGCTAGAAATGACTACACCAAAACATGAGTATTTTACTACGAAATTTCTCAATAAGAGTGTCCAAAGAAAATAAAATTATAGAGTCAAATGCACACCAAAAAAAAAAAGGTTCCAAGTTTATGCTGGTTATTTGATCAATGCAAGGATTTCATGCCCTACAAATATGCAAACCCAAGCAATTTTTGAACAAAAGTTCAACCTATTCATAGGGAAAAAGAGATGTGAGCTAAAAATGATCAAACGAAAAAGACATAAGGAAATATTTCTGTTGGCATTAACCGATCTCCCTACTTGAACATTCACAGTCCAAGGCTTTTTAGTTTTACTGAGCAATCACTCACTCAAGCTAAGAGCTCTACAGGAAGAATTTAGCGAGATAAAAGGGCGAAGAGAGAGAGAAAGAGCTCACTTGAGGAGGAGGAAGTGGCGCACAGTAATGGCCGAGAAGCACCGCACAGATAGGATGGCAACGGTGGTTTAAAAACTGGGTGCGGTGTGTATAGAACCGAAGCTCTAAACAATCAAATTAGAGCGTACCCTGAAGTAGTTTCGAGAAGTATGGTTTCAATATTGAAAGGGTGCGGTTTGTATAGAGCCGAGGCTCTAAACAATCAAATTAGAGCCCACCTTTAAATAGTTTTGAGAAATATGGTTTTAATACTGGAAAGTTTTGTAATAGCTTTAGATTAAATTTTTATCTTTAGTTATAAAATTTAAAGCTTCAAAAATAGTGTAGATCGAGCGGATATATGAAAATTTGAAAATATTGAAAATTGACGATCCAAAAATACGTTTCAAGATGCAATATTTCTAAAATTTGAAATCCATTTTTTCTCATGTCTATGCATCTTGATGTTAAGATGATCGATTTGAAGATATTTGGGCATCAAAAGAACCTCTTCTAAAGAAAGTTGTGAGGTAGGGTATGATTTGATTGTTTAGAGCCTAAGCTCTATCTAAACTTTTCCCATATTGAAAATCGTTGTAACAGCCTTTAACATATATTTTCATATTTATTTATAAAGTTTAAAGCTTCAAAAAAAGTGGAGATATAGAGATAAGTAAAAAATTGAAAATTTTGAAAAGTGACGGTCCAAAAATATGTTCTAAAATACACCATTTCTAAAAGCTGAAATCCTTTTTTTTTTGTCCATGCATCTTGATGTCGAGATGATCAATTTGAGGATATTTGGATATGAAAACAACTTCTTCTGGTGAAATTTATGAGTTAGGCTCTAATTTGATTGTTTAGAGCTTTGTCACTATATAAACTTCCGAGGCTCTAAACAATCAAAGTAAAGCGCACCTTCAAATAGTATCGAGAAATATAGTTTCAATATTGGAAATCTTTGTGGTAGCCTTAAAATATATTTTAACCTTTAATTATAAAATTTAAAGCTTAAAAATAGTGTCGATCGAGTAAATCTTTGAAAATCTTTGAAAATCTTGAAAATTGATGGTCTAAAACTGCGTTACAAGATACACTATTTCTAAAACTTGAAATCCATTTTTTCTCATGTCCATTCATCTTGATGTCGAGATGATCAATTTGAGGATATTTGAGCATCAAAACAACCTCTTCTAGTGAAATGTTTGAGGTGGGCTCTAATTTAATTGTTTAGAGCCTCGGCTCTATTTAAACTTTTTCCTTTAATTCCTGATTTTACATTATTTATGTGATGGATTCAAAAGTTGTACAATTACCATTTCATTTGAAGAATGTTGCATGAAAAGAGCTTTTGCTTAGAAAAAAAAACCCACAAAAGATAATATGGCATTCCACAATGCCATGCCCTCTCATTTGGTTTCTCTCGTTAGGGTAACTTCTTATCTCTTGGCAATAGTTTTTGTAGTTTCCTTCCCAAATTTACAAGGAATAACCATAAGGAAAAAGTTCATTAGAAATTTTATAATACACAAGTAATGTGCATATCAATCACAAGATGTATATGGATATTAAAAATAAAGAATAATTGCAAATCCTAAAAAGAGGCATATTATAACAAGTTATCTAGATCGTATATTTTCAAGTGTTTATAGATCAACTTGATCTTTATTGTTTGCGAAATTTAAAATTTTACATTAAGGGTTCAACATAAATTTTTAAGCCAAAGTTTCTGACACTAGAATTACATCTTTCGATAAAATTTAGAGGTACGCCTTGCATTATATAGGTTGGCACCTTATATAAACCTCACACTCATATAATTACTTCCTCCCGTTAAGATACACTCTTCTTTTTTTTTTCTTTTGATAGTTCTTCCCCATAAGATACAATTAATAACATCCATAAAGGTCCCTCATTCCAGCGTTGGAAAACAAACCAATTGAATCCTAACTCCTAAAAATGAAGTATTGTGAAACATGTACCATTTAATCTCAGATTATTTATTTCAAAATATAATATATCTATCATGCAATATTTTTCGAGCTTCAAATTTCATAATCAAAGCACAAGTGTAGCCTCCAACTTTCCAACCAATCCAGAAAAAGCACCAACCCCACCCTAAAAATGTCAAAATGGCAAGGAATAAGTACAATAACTAGGGTAGAGGGTAGTTTAGTAATACTTTCTTCAGAGATTAGTATTTCCAAAATGCTATCGAAGATCTTATTCTTGCCACGATGAAGTGTAAAAGACCAGCAGCGTCTCTTTCGTTAAGGAGTGACTAAAATGCCAATTCTTATCTGTAAACGACATCGTAATGTTATTAAGGTTGTTCACTGAACTTTGTAAAAAAAACCGTTACGATGAATAAAACAGCAAAACTCATCAATATAATGATGGAAAAACTCTCTCATAAGTTTTAGTTTCTCCTGAAATTAATCTCGTTCTGAATTTTTCATGAAAAGGCAATGAGCGCGGATCCGACGATCGGACCCTACCTGCTTCCAGGCCAGGCTGGGTCCGTGTCAAAATATTGGACCCGAACACTATTCAGATCCAAGTTTGGGTCTTTGTGGACCCAACCCGAATAGTGTTATTATTTAAATATTATTTAATATGTAATATTTAATTAATATCTAAATAAATATAAACTATATATTTTTATTCAAAATATTTAAATAATACATATATGTATTTAACATAATATATATATATATATATATATATATATTAAGGTGCTTGTACAGTCATTATACTCAACCAATTTTTGACATTATTATATTTTTGTTTTGTACATTGAGCATTTTTTTTAATAATGATACTTTTGGTCATTAGTAGGGATATCACATCAACCACATGAAGTACATTAGTCGCATTTAATGCTCTATGTAGGTGATG